ATTATTATTATTTATTAATCTTCAATCTTTGATATAATATATTCATCAGTTCACGCTGTTGTATTTATTTTTAACCATCACATACAGAACGTCACGGTGCGGTGGTATGAACCAGCAAATGAATCGTCCCCTTGTGGTTATCTACATAATGTTATATTAGTTGACTCATCCACTGGTCATATAGGTGAACGGATGTTAACCGCAATAAGTGAGTTGATTCCCGAGACCTTTCTCGTGTATTAGTTGATTCCCGGGTCATTAAGAGTTACGTACGAGTTGATTCCCGGGTCATTAAGAAGTACGTACGAGTTGATTCCCGGGTCATTATATATTTTATTCAATATTTAGTAAAATATCCAGCCTATTGGCATAACCCAAGAAACACCACGAGGAGGTTGGCTGACAAGTTTCTCAAAAATGTTGTTTTTTTTTAGTTTTTTCATATTTTGAAAATCATTCAATTTTTATTTATTAATTATTTATTGAATTATATTATTATTAAAAACATTTAGTAGTAACACTAGTAACTAGGTAAAAAAATATAAAAAATTTTATTAATTTGGTCAAAATTTGTAACACATTGTTTTTATAAATTAGTATCTGCAGGTAATGAGATCACCAGTATACCGTGACATCTCTTCTCTTAAATTTTTTTTTTTGTAAATTCGCGCGTGGTCTCGGTGGATATAAGAGCGAGTTGTGTGTGACGGTCAAACTCTTTATACTGTCGTAAACTCTCTACTCTTGCAATCTATTGATAATTGATATACAATAATAGGGAATCAACTCGTACGTAACCTCTAATGACCCGGGAATCAACTCAACGGTGTCGGTGCAGGTAAACAGGTACCCGGGAATCAACTCGTACGCAGCCCTATTACCCGTTCACCCACCCCCCTCCGACGTGTGTGGGTGCAAGATAACTGGAAACAGCGCTGCACTAGCTGAATTCCAGGGATTTATATTGAATTCGTGAACTGCGGTGTACAGTTAGTGCCTGTGTTTGATACAATAAAAACTCCCTGAGAAATAAAAACTCGCTTATATTTTACCACAGTACAGCTTTTAATGAACCACGTGTACCTATGTAACATAACCGTGGAGTGGTTCTGCACAAGGCTCAGAAACTTATTATACCGCGAGCGTGTAAGTACCTATTATATCAGCTATATTTTTCTTTATTTTTTTTTCTTTATTGATTAAGCATCAACTACACAGGCTATTAGCTTCACAAGTGTTACATTTTAACATTGAAGGTTATATGCTATTATACAATTTAATTTATTTTGAGTATATAAAATTATGTTTTGAATGTTTGAAAATGGACCAATTGCTTCGCACAGGTTGTCTGGGATGTTGAAATCTTATCTGGCTTCATTGATGTTAGGGCAGTGGATGATGATATGTTTTATGGAGTAGTTTATACTGCATGTTGAGCATAGGAGTGGATCTGTCTTTGTCATAAGATTTCCGCGTGTGAGTTTCGTGTGACCAATTCTGAGCCGATTAAAAAATTACCTCATATTTTCTACTTAGGTCGGTGTATTTCAGCCCAGAGTTCAACCGGGTGCTTGATTTTTCTTAATTTATCAGCTATATTATATATTATATACGACATAATATTATTATGTGCTCACGTTCACTGCAATAGCTCCGTATATTATATACGGGTGCAGTAAAAATATTATTTCTCATAATAATATGTACCTAAATATTATATCGGCGCACAATAATACAATATAATAATATCACGGACTATAATAAACACACCGACGTGGGGAGAAGGGTATTCACCAATTCGGCCATTTTTGAAAGAGTAAGAAAAATCGAATTTTGAAAAAATCCGTGTTTATATAATCATATATTGGCACTGAATCGTGACACCGCGTACTCCGTTGATTAGAAAATGTTCATTATTCAAAAATTATAGTATCTTGCGTGTATATATAGTATTCCGAGTAAATATTGTATCCCGAGTATATAATATAATATCGCGCAAATAGAGAGTATCCCGGACATACAGAAGGTATCACGCAAATAGAGAGTATCCCGGACATAGAAGGTACCCCGCAAAGCCTCCACCCCTCGACCAACCATCATCGCCTCCTCCGCCGCCGCCGTCGTCATCTATGTATAATATACACCTATATATATATATATGCGCGGTCGGCGGCGCGGGGTGGAGAGGTAATAAAGATTAACGAGCTTTCTGATTGATGCTGACAACGCCGGGCGCCCGTCGGGGGCTCGTTATTTACCGTCAGACGCTGTGGCTGCAGCGTCGCCGCTCTGCGGTCCCCCATCCTTCCGCGGCGTTGGCTGCGGTATCCGCCGCGCTCGCGTTATGGCCGGCCCATCGGGTCCAAGATTAATGACGTCCCGTCGCCGCGAGGCGGGTGCGCGGTGAGTAGTGAATGTTGATCGGGGGGGGGGGGGGGGATGAGGGCGGAAGCAGCGACAGATCCGCAGCGCCCGTTTTAGCACGTTAAAAGATTTCGAAAAGACCATGTCGCGTGAGTTTTATTACGATTATTATATTATATATTATTATATGGTACACAGCACGACGAATACTTGAGGAGAAAATACGTACTTTTAGGGGTTGCCGACGGCGTCTGGACAGCGGTTGAAACCCCGTCCACAGTCTCCCCGCTGACCAAAACGCCAAAAATGATTTTAATATCGCATATGTATTATATTATGATGGAAAGATAGAAATAATCGAATGCAAATAGTAATTTTTTTAAACGAACGAGTGTTGTAACGTGTAATACAATATAAGAAATCATCATATTTAAGAAAGCATGTCGCTCTGTTTTACATTACGTGTCTAGGAGCTCGCTGTTATGGGTGGTATTAAATTTGAATTAAATGATAGTATGATATCATTGCATACGAAAAAGGATTCTGAGCTTATGTCACTCTAGACTCTAGAATATTTTATATTGTTATTACTTATTATTTATACGGTAGGTAGCCAGTAAGTTGAATTAATATTATTCATAATATTATTCTTAAATTATCAGTGATGCTGGAAAGCTTTAGTTACACTAAAAACCAAAATCAAGTTTTTCGAAAACTAGTTTTGAGTAAAAATTCTAGCTTTTCCTTAAATTTTTTTTTGTTTTTCCTGTCGCTTTTGAAAATTATTGGGAATTTTAAATGTTTACCTCCCGATTGCAACTAGATTCACTTTCCTACCAGAAAAGTTGCTGGTGGAGAAAACCGATGCACTTTTACTAACCGAAACCGTGATGACAGACACAAAAAAATAAATAAATAAATAAATAAATAAATAAATAAATATAAAAACACACGTCATTGTAAAATCAATACATTCGTCGCTTCGCTCGGAATCTAAAATATATATCCCTATTTGCAAATACTGTATTTGTTTGATATTATTATGTTCAATGTTTATCCTATATGAGATAGTTATTCATATAGATTTAGAAAAATATAAACTGTAGTTCATTATTAGACGCTTATTGCATACCAGTGTTTATAAGGTATTATTATTATTATTGATGTGGTGCAAAGGTGAAACTTAAGACCGTGTAAAAGAGAATTCAGTGCTATAATAATACAAGCATTGTTGATATATGTATAAGTATAGGACAATGGTACTTACAGTTAAAAAAGGTGTCTGGTACAGCACTATATTACAGCCCAATTTACTATTTTTTCTGATCATCTGTAGGTACTTTTTCTATTCCTTCAACAACTAATTTGTTATATTATTATTATGCATCGCACCGACGTACAGGTGTTCGCATATTTCAATTTAACATATTTTTTCTAAAAACCTGTTGGATTGGCTGTACAATATAAGCACATTTTCCATTTTCCTCTTCAAATCGCTTATAGCTGTACTGAGTTACCGAGCTACCGAGTTTTGTCGTGTGCGAGCGAGTACTGCACATTATAATGTATCACGCGCATCGTGTTTAATATTTCGCGGTTGTATATACGGTATGATCATGCAGCGGTCGCGAGGGCTGCATGATTATTGCACGCTTCGTGTAGGAAATAACGATTCCCGCCACATAAATATTACACGAGTGTTGCAACCACGGCAGAATAAATCAAAGACATTACATATATTACTCGAGCGCATCGTGTTTTTATTGTAATTCGTTTTATCCCTTAACACCGTCGGAGACGGGAACCGTATGGCAGACAGATAAAATAATAAACTCGCGTCAGCTAAACTATATATTATAAATTGTACGTAATAATAAGGCCTGCCAACTGATTTATTATACAGCCACGCCGCAGAGACTTTACCCGCGGGCTTTTGGTTAGTCAAAATTTACTGAATAAGGGTTTCGGTTAGATATTTACAACTTGAAATAAAATTACACGATATTAACATAATAAATGGACGCATATATATATAGCGCCGGAACGACATAACATGATACCGAACAATATTTGATAACCTAAAATATTAAAAAACATTAATTGGATCGGCAACCTAAGAAACGATCATTTCGAAATATTTATATAGGCAGAACTGTTAATCTCAATCCTCTTTTTTTAGGGGACAATTATAATTTAGCCACGGCTAACTTGGCCTCTCGGAGTTAGAACAAAATATTTCAAATATTTCGAAATCATCATTCCTGTTTTTGCCGCTAAAATCATAAAATTGATGGCTTTCCCATAATGACATTGAAATTTCACTGTAATATTATAAAATGACTTTTTACCTAATATCATAACTCAATTATTGTAATATCTATGTACCCATTGTACCTACATATTTAATGTTGCTTGTACATTCATACCTTTCGTATTTCATAATATTAGATATTTATACATTAGATAGAAATAATTTTCGAATCATATACAACGAACAGCGAATGAAGAAAAAATGTTTTTTTTTCAATTTATTAAAACTGAGAGGAATTTAAAAAAAAAACACTTTTTAAAATACCTATACGTGTAAGTTGTTTCTACTTAGTACTTACTGAAGATATTTCCTATACGGTTTACAGGTATGGTTCAAAAACCGGAGGGCCAAATGGCGGAAACGCGAGAGGAACGCGATGAACGCTGCAGCGGCTGCGGCCGTTGACTTTAAGAACGGGTTCGGAACGCAATTCAACGGTCTCATGCAACCATTCACTGACACCGACTCGCTGTACAGTACAGCTTATACGTCGTACAACAATTGGGCGACTAAGGTGAGAACTGTTTTTGTAAATAAATGCAATTTACTACTTTTTCTAACGGTAATCAATCGAAGTGTTAAAAAAACGGTCATTGCAGTGTTCGATTTTATGCCGTTTAGGTATTCTCTTGAGTTTGTCTGGTTTAACCTGTAATATCATTTTTGTTTTGTAATCACCGATTTATTAATTTCTTTTACTTTTTACAAGAGGTATACAGTATCACAAATTTCCTACATTCTGGTACTGAATTTTTAGATTGACCGATTTTCTAAAATTCATGTCCCACGAATTTGAACATACTAGGCCACTGATGTGTGTGTGGCCTCCTGATAAAAATATGTACATTATCGTGAGACTTGCTGAAAAACGTTGAATCTTCGTTAAAGCTACTTCATTAAACTAGAAAATATATTATAAAATTAAATGACTATGCAGACCACAATATTATATTATTATAACAGTCGTTTTAGATTTCTAAAACATAAATTTAGAACACTTAATATCACCGTTGTGTCCATCCATCCATTCGTTATAGTTACCAGTGCATAGTTACGATTTCTTGTACTAAGATTTTATTACGGATCTATTCAAAGTAAATTTATATACTAGCCACAGTATTAATAAGAATGTCAACATTTGAGTGTTTAATATAGATTAGTACTAATTATTAGCCAATATTAACAAGTTTAGTACAAAAATATAAAGGTTACCAAATTCTTTTTTTAAATGTTTATGGACTTATAGTTCATTGCGTGAAGAATACGTTTAGCAACCGGAAACTTAGCAAGCTCGCAGAGTGATATTTCCTAACTTTTTTATTTGTTCACACATTATAATACATTTAAAAGAATATAAGTATAAAAAATAATAATATATATGTTGACGTATGCCACAGGTGCCGAGCCCGTTGGGATCGAAGACGTTTCCGTGGTCGGTGAACCCACTGGGCACCGTGAACCATCACCACCACCAAGCGCCCGTCAACTGTTTCAATGCGGCCACTTCAGCGGCCGGGTCCATGTTGCCGACGCCAGCGCCGCAGAACGGACCACCGTACTGTCCACCCACCACGCCGTACTCCGTGTACCACCACCGGCCGGCCGAGCCCTGCAACGTCATGTCCAGCAGCATCGCCAGCCTCCGACTCAAGGCCAAACAGCACGCCTCCGGGTTCGGCGGTTACCAACCCGCGGGTTCGCCGGGTTCGCTGCAGGCGCAGGCCAATGGTGGAAACCGATCATCGTCGTCATCGTCGTGTCAGCAACAGTACGGCGGTGGACAGGGCGCGGGCGGCGGTGGCGGTGGCGGCGGCGGAAATTCCGGCAGCGAAGGCACCAGGACGCCCGTCTGACGTGAAGAGCGGACCGGAGGGAGCGTCCGGTACACGGTTGAAGACCTATTGGACTTCAAAGAGGAAATGGACGACGGCGACGGCGGTGCGTCTGTCGCGGGCGGTGCCGACAGTGGTGACGAGGTCGACGGCGACGTTGACGGTGACGATGACGACGACGACGACGACGACGACGGTGACGAAGACGATGAAGACGTGGACGCGGGCGTCGACAACCTAGTCGGTGACCAACTACACCACCACCATCATCATCACCATCACCACCAGCAGCAGCAGCAACAGCAACAGCAACAGCAACAGCAACAGCAGCAGCAGCATCACCACCATCACCACCATCAGCAGCAACAACAACAGCAGCACCAACAATCGCAGCAACAGCAGGTGGACGGTGGTGGCCGGACCGTCAAGCAACACGCCGAGTTGACGCAAATGCACACCACCACCGCGGCCATGCATTAGTCACTCGTCTGCGTTGTCGCCGTCGTTTGTACGTATTTTGTATTTTGTGTATATTAGCTTAAAATCTTGTGCAAGTACCGCAGGGTTGTGGTCACAGTGGTTTTCCCATGAGGTTAACACTAGAAAACCGGAAAACCCATCCTGTTCTGTATAAGTGTAAATAATTTACTTGTACATATTGTGTGAGTTGTGTAAAAATGTATCTGTTTGACGCCAACCACCCTTACCCCTCTAAACGCCTCATATCACTATCACACTGTTGCATAAAAACGATTAATAAATATATATATATATTATAATTATATACAAGGTGTCCCATAAAGTAAGCGCATTTGAGAAAGTGAATAATCAAACAATTATTTTATGAATATCCATTTATTTCCATATATTAATTTTAACCATCACAGAGATACAAAACGGAGTACCTGTGTATCTAGTAAATAATAAAAAACATTTTTAAAAATTCCGCCAAAATCTAAAAGAGAATACTTTGTGGGACACCCTACATACACGGGGCCATCGGAAAATCCACTCATCTTCGAACATATTTTGAAAGTCGCGGAACATCGAGATTTAAGATTTTTTCGATGCGGAGCCGAGTCCCATTATTTCAAAAATGCATGAACATCGCCGTGTATATATATACATATCCACGTCTTGTCCGTCGCACCCACCTACAGAAACGTATAGAACGTCACCCACCCAACCCCTCTTCCATTTCATATACTAATATTGTCGTTTGACTTTTCGCTGACCCATATACCCGTATTGCCGAGTGGATCGCCGCTTACACCACTGTCTAAAAAACGGGTATCGCGGGTAAACTGCGTCTTCCGTGGCTCACTCTGTACGGTTTCCTCGACTTCTCGCCGCTAAAAAATCTCCCCGAGCTTCGATGTATAATATTATTATTATTTTATCCTAAGCCTCGACTTGTCGTGTACTAAATGAACATACTACATATGTATTGTGTAAGTCTAACATATTATTATTATTATTATTATTATTTGTTTCATATGCTAACGGTATGTATATTATAATATTAATGTATTTTGTACAGTGTGTATACGATACCCACATTATATACGTGTATATTTGAATAGTTTTTGAGTATATATTATATTATTATTATATTTTACGATTATTATTACGGCAATAATATGGAACCATTCGTCTAGTCCAATATTATATATTATTATTATAATAAATCACATGTTTTCGTTTTGTAAAAAATGTTATGTAGGTACCTACCTCACGCGCACGTGGGGGAGTCGTGTTTGTAACACTCGGTTTCGATTGCTAAAACGTAAACAACTCTCTCCGAGCATTGATTGTTTTTTTTATCTGCAAAACACTAACAAGCGTAGGAAAATATTTTTTCATGTTTTGATGATTGCCTAATCGATTACCTACCTATACCTACGTATACAAAGAGACGAGAAATTTTCCACACAAATCTTGACACGATTTTAAACCTAGATCTCGGAATTTTAATTATTTCATTAAACCGTCAAGTTTATACAAGTTCGATATTTCTTAAAATAGTATATCATATAATAATAGTATAAGAACTTAATTTTCTCTGAGAATAATCATTCGTATTATACGCAACATCGAAAAGCAATTTATTAATACATACACTGCATCATATTTAATATGATGCTCATACCTTATACAATCGATACACAATTTAAAAAAAAAATTTTAATGAAACTCGTAGAATTTACTCGAATGTTTGCAACGTAAAAAACTACAATCTTAAATTGGTATGAATAGAAACTTTGTCAATCAATTCGATGTTTTTACAATATATAAACATATGCCACGTAAATTTACCTATATATTATGTACTTAATTTATGACACATACATATAGGTAAATTTTAAAAAGTCAGGACCTTTCATGTCTTATTATTTTTAAGGAAACATGTGTTGTACCTACAGGTTTTCATTTTTGTTCTCGTGTAAATAAATATGTATTTCTAAAATTATTTTAAAGTCAATAAAAATTTTAGGGTCGTTCAATTTATATAGTAATATACTTATATATTGTGTACATGTTTTTATTATCATTATTATTATTATTATTTTAATCAATAACATCGTGTATAGAATAATATTTCCGCATATGCCCTGTGTAACCGTTTTGTGTAACGTGTATTTTATATTCTAATATATTATATATGAAAAAAATACTATTAAATAATTATTATTGTACGACATTATTCGTGTAGTTAGGTGAATTTATACATTTTTTTTTCTTTTTGTTCTACGTTTTACTGTAATAATAATGAGTGTTGAAGAGAAATACAAACATAATAATTTTTGTTTTTTTGAAACGGAAAACGCATTCGACTTTATTTTCATCGGCCACAGCTCGTTGAGCGTACACAATAATATGTGAGTAATGACGAATGAGTATTATATAGTATTATACATTTATACATCCACATGACCATATATACCATCATTAAAGAAAAATGTGAGTGATAGGAGTTTAGGTTTTGCATAGGTACATACTTTGATTATAATTAGCCCCTCCCTCTTCTTTACATTTTAAAACTTTTGCTCGGGTAATTTTTGTACCTACCTATAAAATATACTGTTTGCGATTTGTACACTGATTTGTGTGTTTATTTTATAAGTATTATGTTTTTCGACGGGACTACAACACCAGAACCAGAATACTTTAACTACCCGAGTTTCGTCTATAAACTGTATATAAACATATATATTATATATATATTTAAATCTATATAAATCATAATATAATGTAAACACAATATGTAGTAAGTACTGTTGATATATTATGTATTATGTGCATCGATATTGGCTCGAACGATTACCGAGTACGTATATACATATATAGGTAAGTATAATGTATATATAACCTAAATACACGCCATATAATATAGAATATATTATGCGTACCGCGATATTGAAATCCTAAGACCGTCATAATATTATTATTATTCTTCGCCTAATCCTCGGCGCGACTTGAATTCCTATTGTTGTGCAATATTCATTGTAAATATTGCATTGTGTGGGTGTGTGCAATACGTTTGGATATAACAGATATATTATTGAAATAAATATCTAATATATATATGTGCGCTTTGTTTGTATAATATTATAACAAAAAATACGATCCAGACCGAAATGGTTGGCGGCTTGGATCGACGAAAGACGGGTTCGACGCCGAAATTACAACGAAAACACTTTCGGGGGCTATACGAACGGATTCGCGTGCAGTGTGCATATTTTATACAATAACAATAATGCATATACCTCACATTATATAGATCCCACTACACACAATAATAATAGTAATATATTGAGCAATACGATATATTATGCATCGAAAAACGTGAATGCGATGAAAACTAGGAGCTTGGCGTTTTTTCTACAGCTTTCTTATTTCACATTTTATTACCTAAATAATATATATGTCGTAGGTTAGTCGTCGACTCCAATACGGAAATGCGCTACAATACTATGTTATTATAATATGTTGTATAAATAATGAAAAACTGCGTTGCGAATTCCGTGTCGGTTTTTATGCGAGTAAAATGTCGACGTCGATGTAAAATGTCGCCCGGAAAGATAAAACGGATAACGGAATCGTTTTTGTTTATCCGAAATCCATATCATAGCCAGCTGCTATATTTGTAATATTCTCCAAAGTAGGCATAAATATATATTATACAAACGATAGACAATATAATAGTATATAGCGCGTCTGCCACGGTGGTTTTATTGAAACAAAACTGTACGTTTAACTTTTATTATTATATATTGCGGTGCACATGGTACATACTTATACCAGATACCTATTACCTAGCCTATGTACATGACATTAAAACGTGTGTGACGCACAATAATACGACAATGAATGTGTAAGGTGTATCCTACAACTATCCTTTTACGAAATACTCGTTATTATAATAATATTATGATCGATACCTATTTATTTTGAATTAATAAATTTCACGTATACTATAATATTATTACAGGTGTAGTACACTGATACGATATTTTTTCGATTTTGTTTTGTCAAGGGATGCGTGGAAAATAGAACCGCAAAACGGTAAGTACATATTATAACGTTAATATGAAAAAAAAAAATACAAGACCCAAACAAACGAATGTGTCAATTACATTAATGAATAAACCATACGCATAACTCGTTATTAGAGAACAAAGTACCTATATCGGTATAAAGAGGTATATATATATACATGTGCAAAAAACTATATGTGATTAACTGACAAAGTCATGATTTGTGTAAACGTAGGTGCTACCACTAGTAAAATCATTTATCAAAATAGTCGGGTGAATCGTCACCAAAACAATAATCGAACTTAGAAACACAATATAAATAAAAGCTGCTCGTGTAGCGGAGAGAAGAATTTAAGAAGTATAGATACATAGGTACTTATGTAAGGAAATTCTCAAAAGTATTATTTAAAAAAAATTATTACATTTCAATTTAATTTACTCAAAAAAAAATAATGGTGTTTTAAAAAAATCGTAAGTAAACTACATGGTTTAAATTAGCATTTTAAG